GGTTTTCAAGCTGTTACCATCGCAAAAGAGTAGTGTTTTGTCTGCATGTTTTCTCAAATTACACGTTTCCGCTAAAGGTACTTCCATCTTTAGGAACTCAGGCTGGAAGATTGGAGGGTTGGAAGCTCCGAATGGCTTATTTGCTCTAAGGTTGGTTAGTGCTCTTCAACGTTTATCTTTACTTACAAAACAGATATTAAATTTCTTTTTTGTTGTTGTTTTTTCGAGATTGTGTAATTGCTGGTTCAGCAAACACCGTTACTGGTATCTTTTTTTCTTAACGGAAAACTAGTGATTCAGTAGATTTGTCATCTTGAAGTTGTATGTTACCCTTTTCTCAAAAGAATATTTGAGGAGTGAGATTTCTTAAGAAGTATTGTTTTTTAACTTTCGTTGTCAGTTATAGTTATCTACATCTGTCACTCAGTTGTTTTTTCGGTTCAAAATTTACGTTATATTATAGCAACGTTTGTTTAACTTTTGTTTCGTTGTTACTAACAAAAACTGTTTTCAATAGTGCACGCGTTGCATCATAGCTGACACATTTTTCAGGGCTATTTTCCTGTAAACCTTAAAGTTTAAGGGAAATTTTATTATGTATCAGAATTTTTTGTTAATTTTTATATTAAAAAGCGTCAAAACTGTATCCAAAATTCCTAATTCAAATTAAATTATATGGTTGCCCGGACTGAATAGGCAAATCATGTTCTTCGATAATTCAGTTTCTGTTCTGTTCTGTTGGCAAGGTTTGGATTATAGGAAGAACCTAGAGAAACTGACCTTCATGTCTCGTGCGTAAATTCTGTCCTATTGCTGTCATGCTTTTAAAATCTTTTAAAATGATGCATTGATATGATAAAATAAAACATACTTGCGCTTCATATAAAATTGAAATTTTTCAAAATGTTTTTGGATAGATTGCCGTGAAAAGATCTTTACTGAAAATAAACAATATGGGATCTTCACATAGCATAAAGTAATTTTTACATAGATTTCTTTTTATAAATTTTAGCGATGTTGGTCATGTTTGCTTTTACTGTTTCAATTCATTTTGCAAAAAAAAGATAAAAATTTGGATATAACAACCGCTGAATCTTTCTTGGAAAATTATTCTCATGGTTTTTAGTTCTCATCAATTGTGTTGTTTTCGTATTTGATTCAGATAAAATTGATAGTAGGCTTTGTTTTTTATTTTTCCAGAGTTGACGGACTAGTTTTCAATCAAGAAGTAAGGTGACTTGTTGAACTTAGTATAGACTTGTTATAGAAAAAACTTTGAAATCGAGCATCAAAAAAGGTTTATAGAAAAAACTTTGAAATCAAGCATCAAAAAATTATTTGAATAGTCTGTTCTGATGTGGTAGTAAGCTTTTCAAAAAATTGTTCAGCTTGGAGTTGAAATATGTACTATTTTAATCTATCATTGTTTTCAGATGCGTTGGTGTTGATTTTTTGGTCATTTTTATATTGAAAAGCGTCAAAACTGTATCGAAGACTTTACTTCGTCAGTATTCTAAGAAAGTGTAGACTACTAAAAGAACAATGTATACATTTTATGATTTCCCAAACTGAATAAAAAAGCTTGTTCTTCGTAATTTTGTTTCTGTTCTGTTCTGTTGGTTATATTTGGAATTGAGGTACAATTAAGAAAAGTTGATATTTCGGTGCCTCAAACTCTACCCAATTGCTTTCATGTTTTTGGTTGAATTGGACCAAATATGCTCAAGTTTAGGGTTCAAAATTTTTGGATTGAGCATCATGTATTTTCCTCTTTTTTGTTTGTCAATGCTGATCTATCCTACCGGCAAGCGACAAAATGATCCTTATTTAGATTTCATCAGTAGTTTCCTTTCCGGTCATTGAACCATGACTCGTTTTCTGTGCTCTACTTATGTTTCTATTATGCTCGAACTATGTTTTGACTGTCTGTGCTCAACCTATTTTTCGACTGTGCTGTACTTATGTTTCCACTAGGCTCGACCTATGTTTCGACTGTGCTCTACTTACGTTTCGACTGTGCTTGAAATATGTTTCGATTGTGCTCTACTTATGTTTCGACTCTGCTCGACCTATGTTTTGACTGTGCTTTACCTATGTTTCGACTGTGCTCTACTTATGTTTCGATTGTGCTCAGCCTATGTTTCGACTGTCTGTGTTCGACCTATGTTTCGACTGTCTGTGTTCGACCTATGTTTCGACTGTGCTCTACTTATGTTTCAACTAGGCTCGACCTACGTTTGGACTGTGTTCTTCTTATGTTTCGATTGTGCTTGAAATATGTTTCGACTGAGCTCTACTTTTGTTTCGACTGCGCTCGACCTATGTTTCGACTGTCTGTGCTCGACTTGTTTTTCGACTTTGCTCTACTTATGTTTCCATTAGGTTCGACCTATATTTCGACTGTGCTCTACTTATGTTTCGACTGTGCTTGAAATAAATTTCGACTATATTCTAGTTATGTTTCGATTATGCTTTACTTATGTTTCGACTGTTATTTACTTATGTTTCGACTATGATCGACCTGTGTTTCAATTACGCTCGACGTATGTTTCGACTGTGCTTGACCTATGTTTCGTCTGTGCTTTACTTATTTTTTGACTGTGCTCGACCTATGTTTCGACTGTGCTTGATCTATGTTTCGACTGTGCTCTACTTATGTTTCGACTGCGCTCGACCTATGTTTCGACTGTCTGTGCTCGACCTATGGTTCGACTGTGCTCTACTTATGTTTCCACTAGGCTCGACCTATGTTTCGACTGTGCTCTACTTATATTTCGACTGTGCTTGAAATTTGTTTCGATTGTGCTCTACTTTTGTTTCAACTGCGCTCGACCTATGTTTCGACTGTCTGTGCTCGACCTATGTTTCGACTGTGCTCTATTTATGTTTCCACTAGGCTCGACCTATGTTTCGACTGTGCTTGAATTTTGTTTCGACTGTGCTCTACTTTTGTTTCGACTCTGCTCGACCTATTTTTCGACTGTGCTTCACCTATGTTTCCACTAGGCTCGGCCTTTGTTTCGACTGTTTTCTACTCCTGTTTCCACTAGGCTCGACCTATATTTCGACTGTGCGACTGTGCTCAAATTATGTTGCGACTGTGCTTGAAATATGTTTCGATTGTGCTCTACTTATGTTTCGATTATGCTCTTCTTATGTTTCGACTGTGCTCTACTTATGTTCCGACTCTGCTCGACCTATGATGTTTCAATTAAGCTTGACCTATGTTTCGACTGTGCTCGACCTAAGTTTCGACTGTGCTCTACATATGGTTCGACTCTGCTCGACCTATCTTTCGACTGTGCTTGACCTATGTTTCGACTGAGCTCTACTTATGTTTCGACTGTACTCGACCTTTGTTTCGACTGTCTGTGCTCGACCTATGTTTCGACTGTGTTCTACTTATGTTTCCACTAGGCTCGACCTATGTTTAGACTGTGTTCTTCTTATGTTCCGACTGTGCTTGAAATTTGTTTCAACTGTGCTCTACTTATGCTTCGATTATGCTCGTTCTATGTTTCGACTGTGCTCGACCTATACTTCGACTGGGCTCTACTTATGTTTCGACTCTGCTCGACCTATGTTTCGACTGTCTGTGCTCGACCTGTTTTTCGACTGTGCTCTACTTATGTTTCCACTAGGTTCGACCAATGTTTCGACTGTGTTCTACTTATGTTTCGACTGTGCTTGAAATTTTTTTCGACTGTGCTCTACTTATGTTTCGATTATGCTCTACTTATGTTTCAACTGTGCTTTACTTATGTTTCGACTCTGGTCGACCTGTGTTTCAATTATGCTCGAACTATTTTTCGACTGTGCTTGACCTATGTTTCGACTGTGCTCTACTTATGTTTTGACTGTGCTTGGCCTATGTTTCGACTGTCTGCGCTCAACCTATGCTTCGACTGTGCTCTACTTATGTTTCGACTGTGCTTTACTTGTGTTTCGACTCCGCTCGACCTGTGTTTCAATTGTGCTCGAACTATGTTTCGACTGTGCTTGACTTATGTTTCGACTCTGCTCTACTTATGTTTCGACTGTGCTTGACCTATGTTTCGACTGTGCTTGACCGATGTTTCGACTGTGCTCTACGTATGTTTCGACTGTGCTCGTTCTATGTTTCGACTGTCTGTGCTCGACCTATGTTTCACTGTGCTTGACCTATATTTCCACTAGGCTCGGCCTTTGTTTCGACTGTGCTCATCTTATGTTTCGACTCTGCTCTACTTATTTTTCGACTGTGCTCGATCTATGTTTCGACTGTGCTTTACCAATGTTTCGACTGTGCTCTACTTATGTTTCGACTCTGCTCGATCTATGTTTAGACTGTGCTTGACCTATCTTTCGACTGTGCTCTACTTATGTTTCGACTCTGCTCGATTTAAAATTGCTTCTCGACCGTAGAACTTCAGAGGCAAAACTGCACGTGCTCGTTTTTCAAAGTCGAAACATAAGCCGACACCTCGACCAGGGAGGGTGCAAACTTCATTGTAGGGTACGAGACGTCGCGATATCGGGCAAAATGATTTGAAATTTTTGATTTGAAACCTGTTTGCGGCTCTTTTTCCTTCCCCCCCCCCACCTGCAAATTTTTATATTTGAAGTTACTGTTCACTTTGTTCAATTGTTATAAAAATTGACAGGCAGCCTAATTAGGCCATGACATACATATTTGGTCTTCATAATTTACCTTGTAAAACCACTCGTTAGACCATAAAATTCATGTTTAAATGAGGTGGGGGGGGGGGAAAGAAAAAGAGCCCTGTTTGCTTTTGAATACTGTTTGCGTCAAAAAATGACTTCTCGTTGCTGTTTTCAAAAATTTTTCTACGGACAATACTTTTACTTGCAGAAAATTCGCAGGTTGGGGAAAGACAAAAATAGCCAAACATTTTTCTCTCAGAAAAAAAACGGTACACTTTCATGCTGAGAGCACATCTGTAAAATCTGATATTATTGAAAGCAGCATTACGTTATTTTTCAACGTTGATTATGTACACACCATTTAAACACAATTACAAAATCTCAACCTTTTATGCATGTAAAAAAGCTCACGTGCGTTTGAAGATATATTTTTCATTTTATTTTTCGTTTCGTGTATTTTTGTCAGCAATCAGGTAAATATATTAATTTTTTTATGTTTTTCAAATTTCTGGTAATTCCACAATTTTGTGGTATTCCCATTCACAGTAGAAAAGTTAATTTTCTGCTAAATTATTTACACCAGCTCATGCGCAAAAATGGTTAAGAAAATTTAAAGTTCTTTTCCTAACTCCCCGCCCCTACCTTTCATTTTCAATTATGAAAACTTACTCTAGCATTGTCATAACGTAACGGGATATGGCAAGGTGAACAAATTAAACTACTGTGATCATATAACTTGTAAAACAACTATAAAAAGTAGAAATTATTTTGATTGGTGGACAACAAATAGAAAAGGGCCAAGATTAATTGTAATTTGTATTTTTCTGGCTCTTTTCCAGTCCCCCCCCCCCTGGTTTTTGCTGAAATTCAATGTTTGAAAGTCTATTTAAAATAATTTTTCATGCTATAAACTGCATTTAAACATGTCAGCGTGAACAGGCGAACAAATTCTTACAACGTTTCCTACATGCAAAATGCCGTGAAAACAACTTTTGAACAGCCGAATTTGTAATTTTACGAGAAGAGGGGGGGGGGGGGGGTGGTAAACTGGAAACGAGCCCTTTTTCTAGCCAGCAGTAATTGTTGCAACTAAGAAAGCAAGAAAGAAAAAAAGAAAGAAAGAAAGAAAGAACGTGTTTCTCCAATAATAATTTTGTCGCAACGTATGTATAATATAACAAACTTGGAGAGTACAGACAACGAGATCTTCGGATCCACCGGCTCTTTTCCAGCTTCCCCCCCTTTCAAAATAACGAGTTTTATGTTGGTTTTACGTGTTATTACGGCTAAATGCGTGATGTTACGCTGTAAAGTATGAAGAACAAATCTGTTCAGAATTGTCGATTTGTTCACCACGCCAAATTTCATTGCATTGTGACAACGTTAAATAGACTTTTCAAAATTGAGTTTGAAAGGGGGGGAACTGGAAAAGAGCCGATCCACCAAGTGTCTGCCACTATAGGAAGATTATAAATGAAAAGTTTTGTTTTAAGAGACAGTAGAGAAGATGGCACCCGAGAGGAGATTCGACACTTGGCAGACTAGCAGTGGGCGGGGATTGGAGTACCGTCCTGGCGACTACTTCCCCGACCAGGGGTACAGGGTATGCACTTATCACTGTCACCGCCAGGGGCGGATTTAGGGGGGGGGGGGGGTTGGGGCGGACGCCTTCACTTCAGGGATTCGACCCTCTGCCGACCCAAAGGGTCCCCCCTTTGTACTATTTTGAGATATCCATTTGTGGTGACGGACCCTAAAAATTCTTTAACGGTGCCTTTGCGCCAATATATACTTACTTTGAGGGGGTGCACGCGCCAAAAAAACGCAATTTTGTTGGTCAAAAATTTCTTAAAAGTGCCGAAGAAAACTTTTTTGAAAGTCCAACCCCCAATCCCCCCCCCCCTCGAGAAAATCCTAGATCCGCACCTGGTCACCGCGATCAGTCAGTAATTAAGGGTATTCCCCATAATACCCCCTTACTCGTTGATTTTAACGTTATGGTGAAGGGGCAATATTATGCTGAGAAAGATTTTGTCAATGAACCAGTTTTTAATAACCTTTTCGGATTTTCAGCGTTCTCCCACCTCTTATGTAAAAAATTACTCGTTAATTTTTGGACTCTTTCCCAGTTATCTATTACATTTTTTGGCTCTTTTCCAGTTCCCCCCCCCCCCCTTTCAAATTCAATTTTGAAAAGCTTAATTAACGTTGTCATAATGCAATGAAATTTGGCGTGGTGAACAAATCGACAACTGTGAACAGATTTGTTCTTCATACTTTACAGCGTAACATCACGCATTTAGCCGTAATAACACGTAAAACAAAAATAAAACCGGTATTTTGAAAAAGGGGGGGGGGAAACTGGAAAAGAGCCCATTTTTTTCGGAATTCAATATATAAAAGTCTGTTTTAAAGGAAATTTTATAATAAAAACAGCATTAAAACGTGTAAACACGACCAGGTGAACCAATTTTAACATTACTTACATGCAAAATGCCGTTTGAACAGCTTTTATTTGTAATTTTTAGACTGGATTTTTTATATATCAATAGACCCTATCGAAAACTGGGCTCGTTTCCAGTGCCCCCAGCTCAACACTCACAACACTCGTCGATTTTTGTTTTAATGCAAATTACATGTTTTCAATTCTTATATTAATGGCGAAATGGCTTTTTCTCAAATTGAATTCAAAATCAGGTCCGAGTGTAAAACCGAATCAATTGGACAGCGAACGTTGAGTTTGAAATAAAAAACTCATACCGCAAACTATGTTGCCTTAAATTATGTTTTGTTAACCTTTGCTAACTTAAATTAATTGAACTTGAAACAAAGATATTTGGTTGTTATGCAAGTGACACAGACATTTCCGAATAAAAAAAAAGAAAAAAAACTAATTTGTAACCCCCCACTCCCAAGAAAAAAAAAATTAAGGATTAGTGTCTTTTTGGTGGGTGGTATCATTTGTGAACTGTACGATTGCGTATAAACTTAGTGATTTAGGCATAATCGACAATTTTTGTCTCCAAAATTTAAAAAAAATCAAGAAAAAACGAAAAAAAAAAATTTTCTATTTTTTTGCCCAATAAATTTAATATTTTTTACAGATTTTTTCCTTCTTCCTTATAAGTAACTTTCCATAGACTAAAACCAGGTTTTTTATCCTTTTAGTAAAATAAACTTAAAGGTTACTTATAATCTTGATAATCTCTAATCAGTTTTTTCGACACCTGGAATTTTATTTGGTAAATTATTAGTGTTTTTCGAATCACGACTGAAAAGACTTTAACATGATATATCACTGAACCATTTCCAATGATGTTTTGTGGTGACTTATTTTAGAGGAAAACAAAAAAAGAAAAGGAATGAGGTTGGCCGGTTACTGTTTAAGTAGCGCAGAATGTTCCGATCCGACCTTAGTCTTAAAAAATACGAAAAAGAAAAAAGTTTTTTTTTTCAAATTAGATTAGTTTTTTCTTTTGGTTTAGTAAATAAATCTGAAGTAAAACTAGATTTTAGACATACTTAGAATCCACAGTAAAACAGGCAAATTGGACAACAGTTTTTTCTAGAAAAATGACAAGAAAACACTTTTTTTTAAAACATTGAACTTCTTCCAAATTTTTTTTGCCAAATTTTTTGAAATTTGGATCACCAAAAATGTGCTAAAATTTTTTCAAAAAACTTGAATCCTTTGCGTAAATTTAAGTTTTCAGGGCTAAAATTAAACAAAAATAAGATATCGTTAGCCTGCTCGTTTGCTTTATTTGCTCGAAATCGATCTAAAATTCAAAAATTAAAATTTTAAACCAGTTTATCTCAATACTGGGATACGTTTTTGGAAGTTTTTTAAGATTGTTTGAATCAAGGCTAAAAAATTCTCAATTTGGTAAATCAGACGAACAATTTCGATGATAATTTTTGGTACCTGATTTTGCGTGGAAAACCAAAATTAAGAAAAAAACTAAACACATCTGAATACAAAGTTCCTCTTCATTTTTAATGACCGAAACAAAAACTAAAAACTAAAATTCCTCTCAATTTTCATTAGTCGGAACATTGAATAATGCTTTCTTCAAACTAAGAAGCGTAACCCATACTACTTTTATTGCAAGTACAATAATTGCAAAAATAACCACCTCATAGATACGGGTAAGTACTCTAAAAAGAACTGTTTTTTTTTCCAGGAGACCCGTCCAGATCCTCTGCCTCCTTCACTGCACCGAGACCTGCCAGAGATGATCAACCCATACGAGACCACAACTGGGTCCACACATGACATGAAGCACGGGGGAGGGACCCTGGCCAACGAGAGGTACCAGAGGGCGGGAGCCAACTGGAACGTGCACTACGGAAAAGAACACATTAGACAGGTATGAAACTTTCATAGATTGAAAATAATCAACTAAAATGGATTTTTTTGATTTGACAAAAAATAAGACTTTAATCCAATTATAATCCATTATAATCAATTTTTTTTTATTCTTATAGAGACTGACAACCAAATACGGGTAGATGACTAAAATGGACAGAAAAAAAAACAAATGTGATTTTACTTCCAAATTTTTGTTGATTTTCCAAACTAACTTGACTTAACTTATGGCGATCGACCAAATCGCAGCTAGTTAGAAAAAGGGGTCTTTCTGAATGAGGTTAAGACTTTCCTATTCTGATTCAACAGACAAAGTTTCTTTCACTCGTAAATAAGTTTATTATTTCAAATATAGGAGACACACATCAAATATGAAATATGATAGTGATAGTGGTGGTGATGGTGATTTTCGCTTGGCTTATATACCGTACATTGTCATACTTTCAACATTCCATCTGTTGGTTCAACCAATCAGAAAGAGACAACATATGTCGTAATCTTTGCTTTTGGTGATATTTTATCAACTGAGCAAACAGATAACTTCAAGCTAGCATATGGTAAAAGGTTAAGAAAAGTGTTTCTGATTTCAATTCAGAACATGCAACCATCTTATATGGTGATTGTTAAACGGCGATGCCAGTTGATAAAAAAAATTTAAAGTCATAATAAATGATTTAAAAAACATCAAAAAATTTTAATTGAGTTTGCGTAAAGTTTTTTGTTTCTGATTTTGACAGTTTGCTCGTAAATTTTGGCTTGTAGTATAGCCGGTCGATGAAGGGCTGCTTATTTTGTAGTCGCTTTGTAGGATTGCGCCTTGTAGAAAAGGTGCATGTAGCGTAGAGCAGTTATTTGTACAGTTGCGATACGTTGCGGCCAAAATCACAGCTGGATTTTTTTTTAAAATATAACATCAAATTCATTTTTTCAAATTTGGTTTGGCAAATATACTTATCGGTGATACTGGACTCTAGTTGTAGAAGCATACTTTGTAGGGTGGCGGTGGCCAAATCACAGTTGGATATAAATGAATACAAAGTTAAGAAAATAAAGGGACGGAAGTTAACAGATAATCTTGAAGCTAAAAGTTTCCTTCCACCTTGGTTTTTAGGCTCAAATATTTTTTGCTGAGATCCTTTTTTTACCCGGAGAGCTGTTATGGTTTTTTGCGTTTGGTTGATATAATTTAAGTAATTTATATAATTCTTTTGCACTTGATCCGAGTAGGAGTCAAGGATTGGAGTTTGCATTTGGGCGGTTATAAAGGCTGCTGGAACATAAATGTGTTGATGGGGGAGTTGTGGATTAACCAGACGGTAGGCACCGTTATCGTTTTGGTAAGGTTGATAGATTTCTATCTTAAATCGGTTAATAAAGGGAGAGAGTGCATATTTTAAACTGGTATCAAAGTTTGGCGGTTTCTGGGGTTGAGGTTTTGTTCCTTTTTGACTTGGATCGCGATTTTGTTTCAAGTTCTAGAGAATTTCCTGATTGGTGAGCTACTATAGTTTCAGAAGCTAGGTGTTCCCGAATTGACGAAGAAGGGAGAATTTTGAAAGGTCGGATAATAGCTGGTCTTTTTTGAATGCCATTAGAGTGTTTCACTTTTGGGATTGTAGAACTGGTATTCTATTGTGGCTAAGTAATCGGGTTGATTATTCAGGGAGGCTTTTCCATAGTGTCAATTAAAGACAAAAGGTTTTCGAAAACAAGCAAGTCTTCTTCAAGTGGAGTCTGAAGAAGATCAGCGGGTATATCCTAAAACGTAAAAGAAATTAGATGTGATAGTGATAGTGATAGTGATGGTGATGGTGATTTTCGCTTGGCTTATATACCGTACTTTTTCATATTTTCAACATTCCATCTGTTGGTTAAACCAATCAGTAAGAGACAACATATGTCGTAATGTTTGTTTTTGCTGATTTTTTATCAACCGAGCAAACACATAACTTCAAGCTAGCACATGGTAAAAGTTTAAGAATTGTGTTTTTGATTTCAATTCAGAAAATTGAATCAATAATGAAGTAAGTTTTTTTCATATTTTTCATACAAATCATTCATACGAAACATATTGAAACAATAATTTTCCCCATTTGCGGATCTCAGGTTGTCACTTTATTCTATAACAACATTATCTATTATGTATGGATGACCAAATTTCAAAATCAGTTTCTGAATTAATAAAGAATTCCAAAAAAAATGTGTTTCAACTTCAGCTGGAGGAGCGCCGGTGGCGTCCAGAGTTGACGATGAAGAACCAGTCGAGTGAGATGCGGGACAAGTACAGAGGCGACACAGGCACCAAAGACGTAGACTTCGAGGACACTACCAAAATAGGACCTCAGGGTTTCCTACTGGAGAACCACCACAAAGAAGGACCCTCAAAGGTAGGGCAAAAACCAAAGAACACAGGTCAAGTGTTTTTGTGTTTATAATTTCAGGTGGCTTATTGAGAGAGCAACTATTCTCAATAGGCAGTTATAACCAAGAGAATAATCAAAAGAATACATCTTCAGTGTTTTTTTTCTTCCGATTGAATTAGATGTAAGAACGTTGACTTCAAAATTTGTCTTCATTCAGTTCATTATTGATTCTAGACCAAATTTTGACTAACTTGTCAAAAAAGGAACGTAGAAAGGCGTAAAACTTCTAGATAATGACTTTTTGGTTTGACTTTAAATTTGAGCTCACTGTCAATTCTCAACCAAAATCCAACAACCATCACAGAGGCTTGGCAAAAAAAATTGCAAAACAACCATCACAGGGGCTTGGCAAAAAAAATTGCAAAACAACCATCACAGGGGTTTGGCAAAAAAAAACTGCAAAACAACCATCACAGGGGCTTGGCCAAAAAAATTGCAAAACAATCATCACAGGGGCTTGGCAAAAAAAAACTGCAAAACAACCATCACAGGGGCTTGGCAAAAAAAATTGCAAAACAACCATCACAGAGGCTTGGAAAAAAATGCAAAACAACCATCACAGGGGCTTGGAAAAAAAACTGCAAAACAACCATCACATGGGCTTGGAAAAAAAAATGCAAAACAACCATCACAGGGGCGGCTTGGCAAAAAAAATTGCAAAACAACCATTACAGGGGCTTGGCAAAAAAATTGCAAAACAACCATCACAGGGGCTTGGCAAAAAAATTGCAAAACAAAATTGCAAAACAATTGTTGGAAACGGGCCAGAAAAAAAATCAAAATTTTATACGTTCATTGGCCGCAGCCGATCCTAGCAGTTCGATTTATTTGACTTTTGCTTGGAAGGGCTTGCTTGGCTGTCCGGATTTGCTCAGCCCTGCTGAAGTCACGCTCCCTCTGCGGGGTTTGTAGGTGAAAGGTGTGAACTCTTTTGAAAGTCAGGCCCGGGCCCTGCCTGGCTCGTTGCTGATCCAGCCCGGGCCCGGTTCCTGATCGGAACTTAGCCAAATTTAATCGAACACGGTTAAGTCTTATCTCAACTTGGCCTAATGTTTAAACCGCACTCGATGATAAATGCTCATCTCTTGCGCTACCACATTATTTGAATTTAAGTTTCATAAGAACTAGTAGTGATTTATCATTTTTAGAGAAATTATGAAATATATGTCTTAACTATTTTTATTTCAAAGGACAATTTATAACCAAAAAAAGTCATTTTTAGTTTCATTGTTTGTTTTAGACTGGTCAGGCATCGTCGACAAATCCAGAGCTATCGGGTCAGCCGTTCTACGTGAAGGACCAAGGGATGTTGCGGGAACTAGATCCCTACATGAGCACAACGTACAAAGACCACAGGGCCTGGGACGACATGGAGCTCACTCGGTACCCGAAGAAAGACCAGGCAACTTTCTGGGCATGCGAGGAGTACCCCAAGGCGTGGGGACACGGACCCCAGTCTAAGTAAATAGAAAAAGGGTGTTTTGTTCAGATTCAAAAAATTTCTTTATTTACAATTGTTTTGAATCTAATATAAAAATAACAACACTGAAGCAATGAAAAACTTAAAAACTAGGAAAATTTCAAACTCTGTATGTTTAGTCCTCTACCAAAACAGACAGTTCCGAGGGAGAGACCTCCGATGAGAGACGCCACCTTCTTCAAGTCCCAAACCAGAATACCCTTCTGGCCCAAGAGCGCAAAGCCAGTACCTAACGGGTGAGCAAACTAATACAGCTTTTATATCCTTCTGGTTTTTTTTAAACAAAATGAACTAATGTGCTAACTAAACTAAGCATATGAAATAAACAAGACTGCTCGTACATCAGGGCAAAGCCCTGAATGTCCCGACTAACCCTTTACTCATATCGAATAATTTTTGGAAAAAAAATAATGAAAACCTATAAAATTTGGAAATTATCAAAGTGTGAAATGTTGAGTTGGATGAAAACAATACGATCGACCAGCTTGCCTCAATTCAATTTGGAACAATTTTGTTGAGCGTGATAATTAGCCACGCATAGATAATTCGCGTTACGCTCTCAGCAATATGAATAAATTCTTCAAAGCGCGCAAATTTAGTCCAGAACATTGCCAATTTGGCAATTTTCAAACCCCCAGAATTTTATGAAAAATAATTGGAGGTGAAGTATCTTTTTAAATTTGAACTGAAGAAATTGATATCTTCAATGAGGCATAAAAAATTTTTGTTGAAAACTATTTTTTCGATCGGCGAAAACCGTCTGAATAAAAAAAAAACCACACCGAGCAAAAATGTTCTGTTTTCTTCGAAAGTCGGAACAACAAGACTGATCGTATTGGGGCGTAGCCATGATTTTTGACTGCCTTTTAAGGTCTATTGAGTAAGATTCGCTGTAAAAAAATGATAACATGTTCAAAAAAGTGATGAAAAAACTTATCAAGTGATGAAAAAAATGAAGCTTAGACTTATTTGAAACCAACCCCCAACACGTTATCTACACTACAAAGTCATATATTTTGCATAACGAAAAGCGTTAAAAAGACAAAATAGCATGCCTATAAATTGAAACATTTGCTAGGACAAATTAAATCTCCACTTAATAGCACGAAATATATCGCGAGTTAATTGCCCCAAATTTGCACACTTGAAATATTTTTCTAACTTGAGCTCACAATAACAATACCTTTTGAAAGATAAAAAACAATCTGTCAAAAATGGTTAGTTAAAACGTCGAAATTTGTCTGAAGAAAAAAAACCATCTCAAATACAAATATTCCGTTACTTTCGTTACAAAAGTCGGAAAGTTCCTTCAACCAATTTGGAACAATTTCTAAAACGAATTAAATCTCCGCTTACGCGTTAATAGCGCGAAATATATCGCGCAATAATTGTCTCAAATTAGTCAAAATTGCAATTTTAAAACGACCATAACTTAAGAAAAAATATCACAGATAAAATATCGTTTCAAGTTCAAGCTCATGACAACAAAACGGTTTCAAGGCCATAAAAAAAATCCTTCAAAAATGACTAGTTAAAAATTCGGAATTTGTCTGAAGAAGAAAATACCCACCCCGAGCACAAATAATCCGTTACTGTCATTACGAGAGTCGGAGCAATAAGAAAGTAGTTCAAGCTCATGACAACAATACCTTTTCAATGCCGTGAAAAAATTCCATCAAAATTGGCTAGTTGAAAATTCGAAATTGGTCTGAAGGAAAAAATACCCACACCAAGCACAAATATTCCGTTACTTTCGTTGCGAAAATCGGAGCAATGAGAAAGTAAAAAAGAGAGCTCAATTAAAATGTGTGTTATATTTAATTTACAGCGATAACATTGATTTCGCTCACTCTGATGGAGATCGCTAGCAAATGTTAAGGTCGTGGACGACCTGTTGGAAACAGTAATTGAATAAACAAAATAAACAATCGCAATCTTCTATGCTAATCTCTTCGACACTTGTCATCAAAATTGATTTTTCCAAACAAAAATTCAATAAAGCGTCTATATTCTTCTTTTGTTATTTACCTATAATTTTCCTTGACACTTTTCATCCAAAATTGTTTTTTTTTTAGATTAAAAAGTCAATAGTTGAATGCTCATTTGACCGAACTTACTAACCGATGATTTTTCTTTCGTTGGCACCTTTAACAGGCCGGTAGCTAAGGGTGACTACTCAAAGCAGTGATATGACACGACTAGTGTAACTATATCTGCATATCATATTTCTTGATCCATGACGTATTCGAATTTATTATTTCTTTATTTTAAAAATTTTAGACATTGAATCGGTAGAATAAACGAATAGACTAAAACGCTAGCTGTGATTTTCTTTGACCGCAATCATTGATCGCAATTTAAGAGGAACTTAGCATAGCTGTAAGGCATTCACCTTGAAATCATCCGATCGTGTTTTCGATCCCATTCCTTGGCAATGATAGTTGGTGAGGATGAGCTCTAACTTGACCTCTAGCTTCATACTTACCATAGCTTGACCAATTAGTTAGGACCATAGTACCACCTGAAAGTTCTAGATGCAAAGAAAACGGCCTTGAGTCGCAAACATAGAGCTTCGCTCAACAAAATAACGCAGTCTTGGATGAAGGGAGGTAATAAAAGTGGACTGTTAAGCTCCTCTGCGATTTGCAGGAGCCATATTATTATGTATATATTCTTGAGTTAGTTCCAGGAAAAAATTATACCGGTTGAACGCATGGTCAATGAAGCTAGTCATAATTGAGACTACTCTAAAAATCTTTGAACTTGATTTATTTCCCATGACATTTTTTTTGGAACTATGAAAAAGCATCTTTATGCAATGAGCCATAGGGTAATCCAAACTACCTACAGAGTTAAAGACTCCAAGAAGCTTTCAAGTCTGGTTATAAAAGAAGCTCAAATGGATTTTGGGTCAACTAAGCAGGAAATCTGCATTGATTTTGGATACATCAGCCAGATGACCCGGGGCTCAATGCATAAATTCGTTCTATCTCTGAATTCCAGAGCCGCAATTTTTTAATTCGATTTTTTTGCTACCAGGCTATCCTTTTTCAATTAGCAATCGCTCCTGAAATAGACCCTGTATGGAAAGATGTTTCCAGTCGAATAATGGATTTTGCATATTTCAAAAAGACTTATGAGAAGTAAAACAAATTGAGTTTACACTTTGAAATGGATGAAAAATGGCGTACCAACGCACTGTTTAAGAAGAAAAATTACCGTGTAGAGTTGCATGAATAATCAGAACAGAGTGGAAAAGCCATTTAGACTTTCTGTAGCAGCAGCCATAGCCATGCAATTCAGGGAAGTTATATAGGTATTCTTATACATAAGTCTACCCTTCTCGATTCTGATCAGACTCAACTCCCTAAAAATTGTCGCAGCCGTCCCGTTGCTGGGATAATCAGATTTCCAAAAACAGGGGAATATACCGCCCGCATTATTATACTTATCTATGTTGATAATGACAAAATACACAGACCAAGTCACATATATATCCAACTTCAATCTCCTAGTTCAGTCAATTTTTTATGAAGAATTGACATCTATTTATTAGATTTTCCTATAACTCGGAAGACTAATAAATTTTTTACTCTGAACTTCTTTTTAAGTTTTATGTTTTGTTTTCCTATTTCGTTTTGATTATTTATTCTTCTTTAAAATGTCCGAGTTTGATTAATTTACTTGAAGCTATGGCTGACATGGAATCAATACCTGTGACAACCCAACAACAAATTACTCAGGCCGCTGAGAAATTTTTCCTAGAGTAAAAACAACATGATCAAATCAGCGAAACTTGGATATTTAAAAGCAAAAACTAACACTAACCCGAACTTTTTCGCAAAAAAGGTTCTCTGTTATAATTGGAAAAGCTCGGATTATTAATTTGGTAAAGTTTGGTAAAAAGATAATTCTTAAAATGTTTTCTAAAAACTTTACCTACCCCCGCCTTCTGAAAACTTCATAACTGCCCTGATGACAAAAAAAAATTTTTTTTCACGCATCAAAAAATACATTGCGCTTAACTTAAAATTTGATTTTCAGACGTCGGCCAAATTCCATAACTTGAGTAAGAGTTTCGATTCAGCATTTGAGTAGGAGTTTCGATGTCAATTTGTTTTTTTTTTGCTGTCAGATAGTCAGCAATAATTTTATGGCTCTTGCTTAAAAAGTTTTAAGCATTCTTTTAATGTCTCTCACGCCAAAAGTGTAAAGCCATTCATCAAGAAAGCAGGCAAATTTTTGCATCATAACTTAATACCCTTGAAATTTCAGAAAGCTTGTTTTCAGCAGAAGACTTTATTAGCGGTTTTACTATCCAATTGATTATAAAAAGACCAATTCACCTTTATTTTAAACACTTAATTTTAAAGTAAAAGAGTTTCGCTGATGTCAGAATCAGTCTGGAACTGTTCAAGTTTTTCCGAGAGATCCTCAAGTTCCTATTCGTTCCCGACGATCAGGACTCGCTTCGAGGAATCCTTCTGAAAGTGTTCGTTGTGCTAATAATCTTGCCTGTCTTTGCCACTTACGAGTTCTTCCGAAGCACCAAAATTAGCCGCCATCCTTCAGACTTCTTGGTACAAGAAATCAAATCATCGAGCAGATATAAATTGTTATTTACTATCGGACCAAGAAAAGTCTAATCTGTTTATTATTTTTTAACAGCTCATTGATTATATAGATAACCTAAATAATTAACTAATTACGTTTGTTTCTGATAAAAAAAGATAGTTGTATGTTCAACTTTAAATCGTTTGAAAGTTAAGTTGAGTACGTATTCACCTGATTGTAATACTTGGAAGCACGTCCAAACTGTAGATTTGAAACCGGACTCTATTTTTGTCTACTGTGTGACTTTTTGTTTGTTTGTTTTGTTCAGATCGTACAAATCGGAGACTCAGAGCCAGTTCGTGACGCCCTTGGAGGAGAGGATGAGGGATGCCACCATCTGTCCAGTTGAGACTCCCTACACCTTCCACGAACCCCCTCCCGAGGACCTTAACCTGCCACAACATTACGACACCAGTTACAAGTTCTATGGGAGCGAGGAAAAAGTACAGGTCACCACCTAGTCGAAAGAGAAGAAGTAACTAATACTAGAAGAGCGAATCAAAAAAACTTTATGCGTAACACCAGAAATTATCTCGCGGACCACCCAAAATTTAGTTGCAGAACACCCAGAATTTACTTGCAGAACACCAAAAAGTCTATTTGCTTGCAGTCATGGTAAAATCATTAAAGAAGAAGTTTCGTGAGAATATAAGCATTCTCTTGTTTTGCTCCAGCTGGAGTTCAAAGCTTATATAATAGTGCTATGAAATGAATATTTTATTGAGATTTTGATGAGTTAAAATTAAAATTTAATCAAAATCCACAAAATGAGATTTAATTCGTGCAAGTTTTCGATAAATTGAAGAAGGAATAATTGCCCTGCAAATACGACAAATGGAAAAATTACGACCAAGTTCATAACAAAAAAACACAAAATTGAAGTATTGGATTTAAAATCATTTAGTTGCTTGTTTTGTTTCGACTCAGGGGCGGATCTAGGATTTTCTCGAGGGGGAGGGATTTTCAAAAAGAAATCGAAAATTTTGACGACCTTTTTTTTTAGGTCGACCAAATTGATTTTTTGAGCTCTCCCAAAGCACTGTTTTGCCCCTATTTAGGCAAAATTTCTGCGCCGCATGCAAATTTTGAAAAAAAAAACAGTCAAAAAAGGCGTTTTTAGGCACTTTTTGGAAAATTTTGACCAAAAAACTGCGTTTTTTCGGCGCGCGCTCCACCCTCAAAATTAGTAAATATTGGCGCCAAAGGCGCCTTTAGAAAAATTTTAGGGTCGGTCGGCCAAATGTGGATTTCTTAAAAAGTACCAAAGGGGGGACCCTTTGGGTCGGCAGGGCGTTGAATCCCTGAAGAGGAAGCATCCGCCCCCCCCCCCCCCCTAAATCCGCCCTTGTTTCGACTGCAAAGTATTAGGGTGTCTGAGTTTTTGAGCACTTTTAATACTGATTTGTTTAGTATTTTAATGTTTTTTCAAGGTCGAGAAAAACTGGTTCGAATTTTTTGATTTTAAGACGAACTTAAAATGAAAAATCCCTCCTTATCAAGGATTGTCTCAGTAATCAAATGAAACTTGACCAAGTTTTACAATATTCAAAACTATTGAAAATGAAGAAGTTTCTATCAAGGAAATATATCATTTAGGGAAACTCAAATCAAAGTCAAAGGCTAGCGATAAATTACTTGGTAAAATGAAAAAATACTAAGAACAGCGGAATGCCTTCGAAGCAACTAGTGACAGCCAGAGCGGAAACATTTTGATCATTGCAAAAATTATTGACAGTTGGTTTGCGTACAAAAAGTTGTCAGACACCAAGAAGCACTCACAGAAACAGCGCACCTAACCCAACCAAAAACACTATGAACTGAAAGTTCTAGCAGCGGTTTGAAATAATCTTATTAGGAGGTGCATATTAGTTGCCTAAATTTTGTTTTTTTTTTTAAATTTAGCACTTGATGTCATATGAGCTGACAGGGAAAATCCTGAACTTTTTCATCTGAAAAAAAAATTGAAACGTTACCCCTGCACACTCAAGCTTGATAAAGCTTAGCATTCAACGGATTTATTACTTGTTTTGACAGGGAAATTATCTCAGGACACAGGCAAATTTGGGATACGAAAAAATGTACAAGTTCGAAAAGATGATGTGTTTCAAACGAAAAAAAGAAAAAATGATTAAAATCTTTCAGAAAAAATGTGCGCTAAAAACCCAAAAAAATCTAATTAAATACTTTTAAAAAATAAAGAAAATTCATAAACATAAAAAAGGTTCGGGTTGAAAATTTCAAAGTAAGGCTAAAATTATTTCCTGGAACAAAGCAACCAGCATGTTTTACAGAAAAAAGAGGATACGAAAAGGCCCTATTGGTTGCTGCTATAAATTAAGACAGCTCGGTCAATAGACGACCGTTTCAGGAACACAAAATACAAACATTCTTTTTGTCCAAAAATTGTCAGCAAGAAAGATTCAAAGACATCGCAGCCAAGTCAAATTTGCAAAATAGAAATTTCTGGATATTTAGGAATTTTTTTCAACTTTTATTTGACACTTTGAAACAAGACGCTGTTCCATCATCTTGAATCAATTTCAACCGAACCTGCTCAAACTAAAGCTCACCAAATTACCCAAAATAACTTCACTCATTTTTAGTATTAAAAACAAATGATCTAGAAACTATGCATCTAAAAAAAAGAAAATTAACTGCAAAAAAAAATGTTTCAATTTTAACCGAAAGTTTCCGAGAATACAAAAATAAGGAAGCGAAAAACTAACTATCTCTACCCTCTTGCAAACAACGAAAACAATTTTTTATTAATTTGCTGAATTTGTTTGTTAAATCATTTAAGAGCTCTTTTTCTTTTCCCCCCACCTGCGAATTTTGTTAATTAAAATTACAAATCACATTGTCCGATTGTTACGAAAATTGATTTGCAGACTATTTAGACCATGACAAACATCTTTGGTCCTCAAAATCAACCTTGTAAAACCACTCGTTACACTATAAATTTGATGTTCGTGTGAGGCAGGGTGAAAGGAAAAAGAGCCAATTTAAGCAAAGGGGATATTAAAGCCGGTAATTTGTCAAAAAAACTTTTCATAAAATCTACATCCTAATGTCGGATGAAACTGAAATTCATGTTATTCAACGTTCTAACCTTAAGAAGAACATTCAAATACGCAATGAAAAAAATTGAACAAAATAGAAATAAGCTGTCAACAATCAAACCGAAAACAACAAAGTCGAAAAATTATAGATTCACAAAGATACTTCATTAAAAAATTTCAAATGAAAATATCAGACAAACACTCTTAAGGGATTAATAGACCACTGAGCAAAAAAGGACGCATATATTGCATGAATATGACGTGTGCGTGTATATGATGCATGCATATGACGTATGCAGTCAACATTTCATTCAAAAAATTGGATATAATACCAAAGAAAGTTAATCAAAAAAGCCAACCTCTTCCAGCGCCAAAATTTTACCAAAATTTATCAACTCTCAACAGGCTCCCAAAACGGATACCTAAAACACAGTTACTACACACTACACTATTCATGGTGTAATTGAAAAAATATCAAAAAAAAAATTGATTTTGTTAACATACTTTTTCTTTTCAATTTATCAATTATTTAGCTCAATCGAGCATTAATTATTTATTATACGTACTTATATGACTAGCAAAAGTCTGTAATATTTTATTAAAACACGCGTGTTCAGTATCGATGCAATATTTGTATCGGTGCAATATATTGAAAACTAGGGCAATAATGGAAAAAACACTATTGCAATATTTGAAGAACTAGTACAATGTTTGAAACAATAGTGCAGTATTTAAGTACTGCACTGGTGGTTCAAATATTGCACTATTTTTTCCAATATGAAATTGAAACACAGTGCAATATTTTTCATAAATCAATCAAGCAAAACAATCTTGAAATTTTTATCCCTGCATTTACAAAATGCTTATAATTTTTATCCTACAAAAACATATACAATTTTTCAGAACTTTGTCTCAGTATGAGCACTTTTGTGTGATCTTCTAAAAAAAGCTGATGATAGTTGAACTTGGCCATTTGACAAAAACCCCATTTTTCCCCTAGATCCATTTTTTTTACCAAACTTCCACCACGTAGCGCTACAAACAACAAACACATGTAAAATCAATTCACCTATGATATTGAAGATTTCCTCGATATGGAAAAATAATTTCAGATAATTTTGAGAAGTATTTTTTTCAGGTGAAGAAATTGGTTTTCCGAACTGTTCCAACTCATTTGAACATTTGCTTAGCTTCCAAAAACGGGATGGAGGTTTCCCCATTTTCTGCCTTCAAATGATTGCCGCCATATACCGAAAACGCTAGTAGAAAACCGACTTTATCTATTCCACCTCGCTACCTCTGATGTGATTCAGTTTTACTATTCAGGGTTGAGAAATCTCACAGATAATTAGCATTTATAGATTATTTGAATTTAATGATTCATGACTCATTTCGAACTATGAACAAAAACTATAAGTTTTTGTATATGTCTGGATTTTTTCTTATTTTACAGGTTGAATTTTGTGGCTTGAGTTTTTCGCCAGAATAAAATAGATCTTTTTTTTCGATTTTGTCTCATTTGTGTTTAATTGAGCACACAAGTGATATGAAAATACTTCCCTGAAATTTGGTTTTTTATGCATTTTTTGCAGCATGGTACAGAAATGCTCATCACACAATTGCCAGGTATTGAAATTGAATCATAAGAATTTTTTCCATCCACTCGGTGTATGGAATTGTATGATAAAAATATTTCTTGCATCATTTTGTATAATAACATTTTTCTGCATATAAATCAACCTGGGTTGCTTGCTCATTACTCAAAATGTCATGAAATTCAAATGAAGGAGAAGAAAAGAGCCTAGGTACAGCAATTCATCCCAAGGTACGAAAAAAGCAATTGTTTATGCGACGGGAAAATTGCGACATATTTTTCAAAAAAAAAACAGAATAAAAAATACACAATTGCGACAAGATGCCAACAGCTTGCAAAATTGAACCTAATTTGAGTTCAAAAAAACCAAGTTTTTTTGGTCGAAAACGTGGAAACTCGATGAAATTATTGAAAATGAAAATTGAGAGGAAATAAAAAGCTACGTTAAAACCAACCATATGGAAATCATTGAAAAATATGTAAAACTGGCTTGAACTTTTGCTTGCAATTGATTTTGCAAGTAGCAAATGTGTTAACAAGTTGTAGGAGCAAATTTATTGCATGATCGATTTTAATGATCAAACGAAATAATGACTTTTCGCAAGGAAGATGAAAATTTTATAACAGTAACAAATATTTTGAAAATTTCGGCAGCTATTTACAGATTAGCAAGCTTTATTTGGTGATAGCGTCTGCAGATGGTAATATAATTAGATCAAGAGCAGCCAGTTGCGGTGCAAAGACCTAACAAAATGTTTACAACCTTTTTTTTCAATTTCTGTCCATAGTGACGCAAGGAAGTACAGAAAAATTTAAAACGGCAGTAAATTAGGAACACCCAAAAACATTTGCCGTAGATAAATGAATAGCATGATAAGAAATAATCAAAAAATATCTAAGTTTTTAAATTTTTTTCCATGGAAGCACTACTTAAAGTGCCTCAATTTGTTTACCGGGAACAAAAAGTAAATTTTCCACGGCCTAAATAAAAGTGTTTCCTAATTCAACTCTTGGCTCGCTTTGCATGCTACTGAAAAAAATGTGTTTTTTAAAATTCATCTGAACCAAGACTGAAAAGTGAAAGGGCTTTACTATGGTATATTGCTCAGTCTATTCTGATTATTGTTTGCAGTACATGCTTTCGTGTGGAAAAAAGTAAAAGCAGATAAAAAGTAAACACAAACTAAAACGCACCCAAAAACAATTTCCTCCCCATTTTCAGTGGTGGGAACAGTTATACTATCTACTATCTGATACTGGGTGAATGACAAGAAAAGGGGTCTGATCTAGACAGCGAACTTGATAGCAAACAAAACAAACAAAATGAAGTCATTTTGGTGGGCACTTGAACGCAAAATGCGGTAAGCGAATAATTGTTTCATAGCTTGCTTGCTTTCAAAAGGAATGAAAATAAGACTGCTGTAAATAGTGATTCAATATTCGGCTAATAATTTTTATTAATTGCATGCCATGCCCCTGCGATTTTTGCGTTTTTGGCTCTCATAATTGCCTATTGCCTGTCTGGAGCAGACCCGTCTCCTTGTCAATTGCCTGATACTCAAACAAAAACTGTTCATATTATGAGCCTATAGTTAAGAATTGATAATGCTTTGAAATTACTGGAGGCTTCAGTTGAACAAATTTTTCCAGACTTGCCTTTTTACTATGATGGAACATCAAACTTTTAAAAGAAAGTTTCAGAAAACTTTGAATTAATTTAGGTAAAATAGAAGTAAGAAGAAAGGATTTTTTATAAATTTATTTTCATTCAGTTTTGGTATCTTTATCTTGTTGATCCTTGTTTGAACTTGCTCGAGACAGTGCTAGACTTCGAAAGAAATCTGGTTTTGGAGGACCATTGGAGGATGTGGTTCTGGACGGAGCTCCTTGAGATGTAGTCTTCCCACTTAGAGTGGCTTCTTCTCTGTATTTCAGGGATCCCGAATTAGACTGTGCATCTTGAAGTCTTAGTTTGAGTTCGTCATTATCCATGACGTCATCATCGTCTTCACCTGAATCGTAATCTGATTCGCTGACGACTGATTCCCTCTCGTCAGCTTCTTCTTCAACCAATTCTAGATCTTCGACATCCTCGTCAGGGCCTTTGTCAAGTTCGAATTCTCCTTGAATTTCAGTTTTATTTTGGCCATTTATTGAGGTTCCTGGGTTCAAAGCGGCGCCGAGACTCGAGCCCAAATCTTGGAAACTCTTGTCCTCTTTTGAACTCTGCTGACTTTTTTCAACTTCTTCGATCCCATCAGAACGAACTCCTTGAGCTCCGTCCTGACCCTTGAAGAGCATTTTATCATGGCATGTTTTAAGTTGGTCGTCTTCTTCTAAGACGGTTATCAATTTGATGATATTTTCTTTTGTCGATTGCTTTCGGATTTCCTCTTTCAGCGTTCGGATCATTTCAAGGTCACCCGAAGGGTCATCGCCAAGCCACTCAATCACAGCTTTCAGCTCATCGATCACATTTTGATCCTTCAAACTCAGAAGTCTTTCCTGGATGACGTTGATAACTTCGCCATTTCTGATGTTCAATTTAATGATGGCTCGAGCAGCCGAAATTACAACATTTATATCATTCGCCCACCGCACACACCATAAAATAATTGAGGCTAACTGAGCATTCGACTTACCGATATGCGCTAATGCATCTATGGCTGCAGATTTGACCTTGTCACTTGGGTCAAATTGAGCCGAATGCTCAAGAGTGCTGAGTATCCTTTTTTCTCTTAACATCAAGCCACTAGCTGTGTTGCAAGCTGCGACTCTTACGCTTATGTAGTCGTGCTTAAAACACTTCAGGAAATGCGGCAGCAGTTTTTCTGTCATTATCCCTAATTGACCGGTTCTAACAACAGCGTCTAGAATTGTATCTCGGTCAGTTTCTTTGTACAGTGACATTAGCTTGTTATGAACGTGGGTTCCGAGATGCAACTTACCAATAGCAACGGCCGCTTCGGAACGAACGTTTTGGTCAATGTCATGCCACATTAAGTGAACAAGTTTTCGGGTTATGTCTTTATTCGGCGGACCTCGCAAACTTGGTAGAATTTTACACGCCAGAAAGCGGTACTTCCAACTAGTACTGTTTAACTGTTCGCCTATTAGACAGTGTATAACTCGTGTGCTGTCGCTTAATTTAGCCAGAGAAGAAATGCATAGATCCATTTCGGATTTTTCAGACGCCTGAAGCATACACTCGATGAACACATTCGCGATCTTTGAATTAACATAACCGGAGTAAGTAAGCACCAACGCAGCGATTATTTTCTCTTCAAACGTGGCACTAACTTTGTGCAAATGATCGGCGACAATTTCGTGACTCTTTTCAGAACATTTATCTTGGATCATAAGCGTCAGAGCTGCGCCAAAGCGAACGTATCCTAGCTCATCACTAAGACAGTTTTCGACAAGTTCTAAAATGCTTTCAGGGAGGAATCCTTGATCTTCGCTTTCGATCACAAAACCGTCTCCATTGATTCCGGCGATTCCTGATACTTTTTCCAACCTGTACACACTTGCTTGAGCGCAGACTCCTAAAGCTTCCAGTCTAACTCGACTGTCCAAGCTTTTCAGTTTCTCGAAAATATCGCCGACGTCAGAATTATGCCACAGAGAACCAATTTTGTGAAGTTTCAGCCACCTTTGAACTATTAGTTTTCGATGCTGACCTTCATCATCCAAAGCTACTAACTGATCATCATTGTTGACAGGTTCTAGTTCAGTTTCATCGGCCGCTTTCATTTTCCTTTTGTCCAGTTTCGGTTGAGGTACTTCCTTCCAGCGCGGTTTTTTACCCTTAGTTTGACCAATTGGACTTGTTTCGACTTCAGGATAGATTTCTGTTTTCTTGACAGTATACGTATTTCCGGTATCCAAAAAGACTTCATCGCTAGTTTCAGTTAGAAACACTACTTTGGCACCGTCAACTATTTCGTTCACGTATTTGTGCTCACTTCTATTATGACTCATTAACTGTTTCGCCTTCTTTTTTCGGTTGATTGCGTTGCTCGTAGTTTCAGTGTGGCTAGAAGGTCGCTCTATCATTGCGGTTCGATTCTCGGTCTGGGCAACAATTCTTTTAACCTCTTCATTTTCGTCAGCAAAATTTTGTTTATAATAAAGAGATTTAAACTTCTTCGACAAATTTTCATTGATCGGGTCTCCGGATAAAGTGGTGGGAGTGCGTTTTACCTTAATTTGTTCCAAAAATTTTTGAGAAGTCGGTTCACCAGATACGCTTTCATCGTCCACCGTCAAATCTTCCTGCTCTTTAAATCCAACTTTACGCTCCTCCAAAAACTCTTTCAAGTGCTCTTTTTGCTTCGCAGAGTCGACATGATTCGTGACAATCCATCTAGCTGTGTTTTTGCTCACCCGCGTCAAAATGTATTCATCCCAAGTCATTGTTTTCTTCTTTTTTTCGATATCTTTGAAAATTTTGCTCTGAGTGGCAATATCTTTTTTAAATCCTGTGGATTTATCCAACTTTGAGAGTGGCGGCTTACCAGAAGTACTTCCTGATTGAAATAGACTTTCAGTACCAGGTTTTGGCTTTTCTTCGGAAACTTTTTCTAAAAATTTCACTTTTTGTTTCTTTGCTTCGTGTTTTTGACTTGATGTTATAGCATGGCAGTTTCCATGCGTTTTGACGTTCGCTTCAACGGAGTACATTCGGCCTTGCTCGACCGACGAATCGGTTTTCACGACCCGTTTTTCTTTCAATTCGGGAATTTGATTCGTTCGGTATAACTCGTCAAGCACAATTTTCTTTGCGAGGTCAAATGTTATCGCTTCCTTTCCGCGAGTTTTGACAACATCGAAATCAAAACTCATATCAAAACACGCTTGTTTGATATACTCGTCTCTGATTTTGTGACGGCCTTCGAATAAGTCGACAAACTTCGGCACTTTCTTCAGCATTTCCATAGTCTCTTCGACTGTTTTCAACTCGTCTTTCGTCGGCCCGACAGTCACCCGGGACGCCGTCGGATAAAAAGTCGGGACGGGCTGAGCCATTGCTTTGTTTTATGAGAATTATAATACCCAATCAGCGAAGCAAAATTACAATTTAAACATGCTAGCTAGCTGCTATGCTTGAATTTGAATTGACCAGTATTACGGTTGTTTTGAGGCTTGTTTAACAATGAAAATACGAAAATGTTTGAGAATTATAATACCCAATCAGCGAAGCAAAATTACAATTTAAACATGCTAGCTAGCTGCTATGCTTGAATTTGAATTGACCAGTATTACGGTTGTTTTGAGGCTTGTTTAACAATGAAAATACGAAAATGTTTGAGAGTTAAACCAAAAACGCTCGTGCAAAATAACGGCTCCGCAGCAAGATTGTATATTTTTAATGTGATTTGAAATTAATGTTTTCTAATTCCGCCTAAACTTACACATGCATGATATTTTTTGATGCTCATCAGTGTTTATTAAAGATTCGTATCCTGCTAAACGGGGAAAGGGGTTTTCTATTTTAACTGCCAATTTTTTTACGCAGAGGCGAAGCGCAGCTTCGCACTACTTGCGATAAAACTCAAACACAAGAAAGACACAAGTAAAAAAAAAATCAAACATTGAAAAAACATAAGGTGGACCAAGAAGTGCTATACTGGTGCCACACGAAAAACGAGATTTCAAAAATTGACTTTGCCCATAACCTTAGTTGTTTCTCTACTAAAAAAAGTGATAAGAGTAAAATATTTCCAGATAATCAACTTTCCCAGGAAGATAAGATTTCTCTTACAAAAATTAAGGCTTCGCCGCTTCCGCAGGAACAATTGTCGCAGCCAGATCTTTCAATTGAATTTTTCATCTTAGATTTAAATGTGTAAATTTTAAGAAAGCTCAAAAAATTTTCTAAAAAACGGTCCAAAGACTTTCCAAAATTCATCTTTTTTCCTGCAAGAAGCAGGTTTTCGCCGCTTAAACAAAGAAAATTCCCAAAAACCGGGTTTTTCGGTTGAACACAACCTGAGAATTGACTCGATAGTTTTCACATAAAGTCAAAAATTTTCCAAAAAACTGTCAAATTTGTTTCAATTGAAGTTCATAGCTTTTTCTCAAACAAACTGGGCATAACCAATTACATAGGTAGGTTTTCAACAACCTGTTTGACAAAATTGAAGTCAGTAGAAAAAACGTTATTAACCGAAGTATAATATAAAGACAAAACAGCATTTTTATATCTTATAGTTCTCTGTGAAATGCAATACTTGCATTAAGGACAAATCTTTGCATTCAAATCACCTGTGCTATCCTGCCACTTAACCAATGCGTTCCATTATTTTAACACACTTGGTTGCTCTGATTTTTACAGAACACTTAAAAAAATATATTGAAGTTTTGTGCATTTGTGGAAAATTGTTTATTATATAAACTTATACAACTTTTGGTAAGTTGGAAGTGTATGACATTGTACTATAACCACTTTTGGTCACCCCTGGAATGCATAAAAATGCGCAATGAGATTCCCATAGGCTTTAAACGCATCGAGCTTAGTTTTGGACAAAAAATCAATTGCACCAAAACTCAAAAACAATTGCATCATCAGAAATCTTTATTTTCGATAAATAATTTGACAAATTAAAAATTTATACAAGCACCGCCACCGCAGCCTTCTGATCGATGAAAGCCTCAATATAGGAAGCTTTGAAATCGCGCAATTTTCGAAAGTACCTGTTTCAAAAAAAAACATGCAGATTGTAGCACATCTACAAATTGTTCAAAATTTTCAATACTTTCAACGCCATAGAAACTTGAATCTGATTTTTCATTTGCGTAGAGCTATATTTTATCTCTAACAACTTTCTTTTAGGTAAAAAAGATCGACAATTAGCTTGTCACAGCTTAAAAATTGAGAAAAAGTTAGAAAAAGCAAAACAAAAATCTTTTTCCATATTTCCAACTTTTAAACTTCAATTCCATTTGTCGTCTGTTTTCTAACGTTTGTTTTTGTTAATACACGGTTTGCATTTTAAAAGCGGGAGCTGAAACATTACTGAAGATTAAAAACACTTCTAATTACAATGAAACTCCAAATTGGAAATAACATCATTCCAAAACGTTTCTGATAAATTCTTCCTGGGAAATAAACAAGCTATAAAAAAAAGCAGAACAAGCCTCTAAAATAATTTTCAATGTGGAAGCGAATCACTGGAAATGTAATGTCAATCAAGACCCACTTGTCCGGTTTTTTTTTAAAAAAAGGACGGGCTAGAGGGTGGAAATGACCCCTTGTATAGCTTTATTGTGAAAAAAAATATATTTGAATGCCGGCGATTTTGGGATACACATGAAAGAAGTCATGAATCTCGCGGAGCCGGCAAACCCGCGCGCATTGGAGATGCAAGTCTTCAAAACCGAATTCTCATCAAAGGGTCTTTCAGTTGACTTGTTTCTGGGGAGCAGTCGGCCAACCAAATGACTTCCAAACTTCGACCAAAGAAGATGCACTATAATTGAGAACTGTCAATTGAAAGCAAAATTACACAGGGGCGAAATGGAGTTTCGCATCACTTGCGATACAACACAATCATAAAAAAGCATCAACCGAAAAAAAAGAAAGAAAAATGAAAAAACTAAGTGAACCAAAATTTTCGTATGTCTCGATGAAGGACACCTAGGGCTCAGCTAAAGCTGGAGGTACTTTTTAAAAAATTTTTGAATTTTTTATACTGATGCGGGATGAAATTCGTAACTTCAAAAATTAGACTTTGTCCAAAACCTTAGTTGTTTCCCAACTAAAGTGAGAAGAGTGAAATGTTTTGGAATTTTCCTAACGACCTAGCATTTCCGTACAAAAAGTTAAGGAGTAGCCGGTTTTCTCCGGGCAAATTTGCGCAAACTTTTTACTGCTAAAGCAGGTGGTGGTGGCCGGTAAAGTAGGGAAGATTCCCAAAACCGTAGTTAAACCTAACCTGAGAATTGGCAAGTAATTTTCGAGGCGATTTAAAAAAATCCAAAAAACAATGCAGTTTTTAAAAAATTACACTTTTTTAAAAGGTATGACTTTTTTCCAGCAGAAACTGGCGTAGCAAATTCTGAAGTTAAGCTTCCAACAACCTGCTGAACGATTAAATCTATCATAATTGTTTTGGCAGGATAGTTATCGAGAAGAGAGCAAAAACCGGTCAACAAATCAGAGAGTTGGAATTTCCGAGAAGCATAACTTTTTGTTTTCGAAAAATTGGCCGTAGCCGCTTAAGTAGAAGAGATTTTCACCCAATCTATTATTTCGATTGACTTCAAAGGTGTGGCCGGGCAGTTCTCGAGAAAGTCAAAAAGTTTCAAAAAACGGTCGAACAATCAAAATTGTGACATTTACGGGGGCTATAATTTGTTTTGTGTAGAAAACTAGGGCGTAGTAGCATACGTAAAAGAGCTTCACACAGCCCGTTCGTTAGGTTGAACCCAAAATTTTAGCTATAGAAGGGTATTTTTTGATTGAGTTCAACAAATTTTGAAAGGAAAACGCTCAAAAATCAAAAAGAAAATGACTTTTTCGAGGACTATATAATTTTTTGTGTAGAAAACTGTGAATGGCACTACTAATGCAGGAGAGCGTCACAAAACCCGTTATCTCCATTGAACCGGAAAATGGGGTTCGGGAGGTTGATTTTGAGGAAAAATTTGAAAACGATTTAAAAAGCGGTCAAAAAAGTTAAAAACTTGATTATTCCGGGGTTCATAATTTTATGTGCAAAAAAATGTGGGCACAACTGCTTGTTGAGGGAAGGTCTCCAATTCCATTCTATTCATTGAAACCTAAATATCAGAATTGATAGATTAGTTTTACAGAAAACGAAAAAATTATACATCGGTCAAATCTTCCACCAACAGACGTTTTCGAAGGCTGTAGACAAAAAGGGAACGCAAATGTATACCAAGAGAGTATGCAGGCACACAAAAATGTAGGCGGTCTTGCTATGTATACCCTTTTGTGATTTTCAGTGGAAAAGCTACTAGGAGAAAATACTTTTTTTTGCAAAAAGTATTAAAATTTTCCAAAGCGTCTAAATAGAAAAACCCTTATTTTCATAATCCCTATTTTTTTCGAATGTTAATTTCAGGCAAACAAGCCAAGCAGCAAATTGAAAATCAAATTACAAAATGGACAAAACTTACGAAGCGGAAACAAGGCCGCGGAAACAATTTTTGAGCAGACACCAGTTGAGCCGAAAAAAAACTTACTATGAAAAAACTTTAAAAAGTTTTAAGTCACCCCTGAGACTACCCTGTAGTAAATATTAATAAGCCAGTAGTTAAATTTGAATTGGTTGCTGCAGAAATGAATGCAGCAGTAATGATTCAACAGATTTTGTTTAACCAGTTGTTAACAAGAAAAAAGTCTAAATTCCAGTTTGATAACGCTTGCTTATCGCAAGCGTAATAAAGACCCAACTTAATCACGCGTTTGTACTGCCATAGACTTGTATTTGTAATCTGATCTGAACTGTCATTGGAGAACTGGTATTACACAGCGGCGAAGCTGCGCGTCGCAAATACAAGTGAGGAAAAAGCAAAAAACAACGCCCTAAACAGGCAAAAAAAAATTGAAATAAGGAGAAGATTATAAATACACTTTGAAAAAAATGTTTGTTGAGACTAGTAATATCACGTTCTCACATCTGCTCCACAACCGCTTGTAATGTTACTGACAGTAGCCACCAGTAAGGCAGCTACAGTTTCCATATAAATAGCCAAGGCTGTCTAGCAAAATTTTGCTAAATTGAGAAATTACTGATTTGTTCTCGTAATTTTTAGACGGAGCCGAGCAATCATCATTGCTTTTTCTAGGAAACTGTTAACTGTAGCTGAACACTGGTTGAACTCTCAAGAAAAACGACAAAAAATCCAACAAAAATAAACAAAAAAAAAGAGAAAACCTCTACAAAAATTGCGCAAATGAAAACAAGAATGTGCTGTGATTCACGTGTTTACTCAAGCTATTCAAAAACATCAAAAAATTCTTTCACACTATACTGAAAACAAATGAGCATTTTTTCGACAAAGGACTTGTAGTATTTCACAAAAGCTGCTTGTCTAACATAGGAGCAATAATTGAAAAAATTTTATTATTTGACCAATTTTTCGAAGGGTCCATCCTCTGGTACTAATTGACATTATGCACTAGGGGCCCAGCTGAAAGCTGGAGAGACCTGTTTGATTATTTTAATATTGATTATTTTAAAATTGTTTTAAAATTTCAGGTTTCTCAAGTCGACAGCGCCCTTCCTACGCAAAAAAAGTGAGAGATGCTTATGCATTCATTGGTAACGCTTTGGTAAAAAGTTTTCATGAGGGAACTTTTCAAGTCCATAGGTGTTTCCCTAGACAATAGGGGCCAAGCTGGAAGCTGGAGAGACCATTTTGGTTATTTCAGAAAAAAACGTTATACAAATTTTTGATGAAATCGAATTAGCTAGCGCTTTCTGTTTTATTGAAAAAACGAGTTTGAAAAAATGTGGGTGGGGGGGTGTAAGGTTAGCGAAATCGCAGATTGATTTCGGATGAGTTTTGTAAACTAATGTAGCAAGGTAATTGTGTGCATCAATCTGCCAGAATTGTTATACAATTCTGCCCAGGGAGCGGGACGAGGACCTGGATGCACTTTGCTCCCCACCCTTCTCACAAATGCAACACTCAAAAACTGGAAGTTTCTGATCAGTCATATAATTAGCGGAAATTTCCCAGTTGTGAGAAGGGCCCCTAGCGGGTATGCTTGCTGGCAAAGACAACATGGTGGAATTCAAGAAAGCACCTGCGACGTAAATCCCAGAAGAAAAAGGTGTTTCTGTGTCGTTGTTGATCAAACAAACTCACGATAGAATCAATTCCGATTGTTATGATAAAATTCCAGTGAAAGTTACTGGCCGTAAGGCATTAAACAATATCCAAGCATACTGGAAAAAAGTGCAAAAAGCACATGACCATCAATGATACTTAAGTGAGCCTTAAGTGAAATTTGGGATTCATCGAACAGAACAAATACTTCATAGAACAGATACTTTCATGATATTATCAATGTAGAGAAAAATTGAAATCACTCAGGATTTGGTGAGGAATGTACCTGATCTAGAGAAAAACAACAAACTGAATATGTCTTTACAAATCTATTTATTACCATCAATGATAAACATAACGTAAATAATTTAAAAATCATGGAAACATTGAAATCTTCCTTCGAAGATTGAAATCACTCAGGATTCGGTGAGGAATGTACCTGATGTAGAGAAAAACAACAAACTGAATATGTCTTTACAAATCTATTTATGACCATCAATGACTAACATAACGTAAATAATTTAAAAATCATGGAAACATTGAAATCTTCCTTCGAAGATTGAAATCACTCAGGATTCGGTGAGGAATGTACCTGATGTAGAGAAAAACAACAAACTGAATATGTAATTACAAATCTATTCATGACCATCAATGATTAACATAACGTAAATAATTTAAAAATCATGGAAACATTGAAATCTTCCTTCGAAGATTGAAATCACTCAGGATTTGGTGAGAAATGTACCTGATGTAGAGAAAAACAACAAACTGACCATGTCTTTACAAATCTATTCATGACCATCAATGATTAACATAACGTAAATAATTTAAAAATCATGGAAACATTGAAATCTTCCTTCGAAGATTGAAATCACTCGGGATTCGGCGAGGAACGTACCTGATGTAGAGAAAAACAACAAACTGAACATGTCTTTACAAATCTATTAATGACAATCATTGATTAACATAACGTAAATAATTTAAAAATCATGGAAATATTGAAATCTTCCTTCGAAGATTGAGATCACTCAGGATTCGGTGAGGAATGTACCTGATGTAGAGAAAAACAACAAACTGAACATGTCTTTACAAATCTATTAATGACCATCATTGATTAACATAACGTAAATAATATAAAAATCATGGAAACATTGAAATCTTCCTTCGAAGATTGAAATCACTCAGGATTCGGCGAGGAACGTACCTGATGTAGAGAAAAACAACAAACTGAACATGTCTTTACAAATCTATTCATGACCATCAATGATTAACATAACGTAAATAATTTAAAAATTATGGAAACATTGAAATCTTCCTTCCTGACGTTTGTGTCGTCTTCTTCACACAGAGCTTCTTCTAACCTGCTCTGGATAGACGAGAATACATTGTCAACAACTTTTTGAGTGTTGTCAATTTCTTTCTGAGCCATTTTTCTGAAAGTGTGACAAGATACAGAATAAGACTATTTAGATTTGCTGTAAACCCACAATGTAATGCAATTAAACCGAGCCTTTCACAGTGCGACAAGACAACCGTAATATGAATTTAACGGGCCTTTCACAGAGCGACAAGGCATACCGTACTAAAATTAAACGAGCCTTTCACAGTGCGACAAGGCAACCGTAATGTGAATTAAACGGGCCTTTCACAGTGCGACAAGGCAAACCGTATCAATCATGGTTACATGCTAAATATATTTAAAATAAAATCATATGCACAATGCTTCAACAATGTGAATAATTATTCAGTAGAATTAAGTGAAATGTGTGTTTCACAAACCAGCTAACATTAATGAAATAAAGTATTTTTCATTTTTCTAACGAGTCTTTAATTTTCGAATTAATTAAGTTTTGTCCAAGCATTGCAAATATGACTATAATATGTTGACTATAACTGACATCACAAAAACGTTCTGGAACAAACCGACCTGATTAAAGAGAACTAGCGTAACTCGTGCAACTTCTCGTTGGACTTCTTCGAACCATACAAAAAAACTCAACAAAAAGCCAATAGCACCAAGCAAAAGCGAGAAAACGTAAGCATAGCGGATTCCATTGTCTAAAAAATACACACAATAAGCATATTGAATCTTTGTTCCAGTGCCAAAAAACTTTAAAAAAAACTTTTCCGAAGTGTACAGCTCTTCCCCGAGACAAATTAAGGACCAGCCGCTTGGGCAGAAGAGTTTCCTACAACCTGGTCTATCGATTAAACCCTTAATCCCAAATCTGGATGGGTAGTTTTTGAAGAAATCGAAAAAGTTTGAAAAAATGACCTAAAAACCGAAAAATTGACTATTCCTAAGTGTATAGCTCTTCCCCTAGACAAATTAGGGACGAGCCGTTTGTGTAGGGGGGTTCCTACAACCTGGTCTATCGATTAAACCCTTAATCCCAAATCTGGACGGGTAGTTTTTGAGGAAATCGGAAAGTTTTGAAAAAAGGACAAAAAAGTGACTTTTCATAAGTCTAAAGCTCTTCCCCTAGGCAAGTTAAGGACCAGCCGCTTGTGCGGGGGAGTTTCCTACAACCTGGTCTATCGATTAAACCCTTAATTCCAAATCTGGATGGGTAGTTTTTGAGGAAATCGATAATTTCCGAAAAAATAGGCAAAAAAATCAAAACATTGACTTTTCCTAAGTCTATAGCTCTTCCCCTAAGCAAATTAGGGACCAGCCGCTTGTGCATGGTAGTTTCCTACAACCTGGTCTATCGATTAAACCCTTAATCCCAAATCTGGACGGGTAGTTTTTGAGGAAATCGAAAATTTCCGAAAAAATGGGCAAAAAGTGAAAAAAGTACCGAGTTGTGAAGCTTTTCTAAGACCGTAGGGGGTGGGGTAGGGTAAAAATTGCCCTAAATTTTATGCAGGCAGGTAGGTGAAAAGCTACTGAATCCATTGGTACCACTTTTATGAGAATCTGACGGGTAGTTTTTTTGGGAAAGCGAATTTTTCGAAAAAGCGTCAAAAAAAAAAAAAAAACCAGATCTCATCTGGAAAAAAAAAACGTTTTCATAATACCTGTTTAATAAATCAAACAGGAATTTCAAGTCACAAAACGCTGGAACATTTGCAGACAATTGTGTCGTTGAAAATTTGCAGACATTTGTGTCGTTTGTGACAGTCTTATTTAATTTAGACGTTTGTGACAGTCTTATTTAATTTCTAAATTTGTTTTCAAAGAGTCTACAAGCTATTTTTTTAATCTTTGGAAAATACGGTTTTTTACTGTTTTTACAAAGCTCGAAAAACAAGTTGTTTTTTTTCTAAGTGAATCCAAAATTTTTCCGAACTTGTATTTCTTCGGTTCTGTCCGAAAATTCTATACACGACACTCAACATAAAAACGAATCTCAATCTAAAATTAATTCATCGTCAATGATTTCAAACATTATTAGGTCAAGTGATTTCTTTTTCCAACTGATTTCCGCTTCTAAAGCTGTTACTTCAAGTGTTGCTCAATTTACTGGTTCGCAGTCCTTCGACCCATTTCCTGTTCGACTACACGTCGCACCATGTCAGCCGCAGTCCTTTTTTCTAAAACAACCCAAAGGAGATAAAACAAAAAAAGCAAGAATTTGAAAAGATGTCACCTCTTGCGCAACCAAATCAGATAAATTTAGTGGGAAATACTCTTCACTTGCATATTTCTGTTCACAGGAAACTTTTTACTAGAGTTAAAGGAGAAAGGAAAATTAATTTTTTGGCATTCATTTTTCAAAAAAATTCGATCTATCTCGAATTGCAAATGAGAAGTCCATGTTTATCAGACATTGGTACTCGATATACGTTAGGACTTTCAATTCCCTTAACTACAAACAAGAAATTTAAAATGAAAAATCACCAGCTTCTGTAGCACTGCAGAGCCAAGTTTGGATTGCTGTGATAGAGGCGGTCCCAAGTTCCTGACTCAAAAGTTCCATAACCTAAGACACGACATGATAGAAACAGATTCAAGGTTAAATGACACGATAGAAACAGATTCAAGAGTCAAGACAAAAAATTATTGGAGAGGCGATGGTGAAGTAGTCATGTTCTCCAATTTCAGTCGAAGGTCGTTGGTTGGAGGCCCACCATGATCCCTGCTCGTTGTCGAAATCAATTTTGACAAATCACTAGTTTTTTAATCATCTTTCTCTGGTAATGGGATCATCAGCATTTCGTACTGCTTTTAATGACATAAATATAATCCGGGAACTTTGCCATCAACTGTCCTTTTTCTGAATGGTTTAAGCCGGTACTTTTTATATCGCTACTCAAACCTTTAAATAAACAAATTTAAAAAATTGCTTTCATGCTAGTAATTAGACAAGCACAACGTTTTCAAACAAATTTTAACGCAGTGCCAAGCCTGAAAGAACGTCATTAGACCAAAATGTCCAATTTCAAAAGTCTTTTCAAGGGTCGTTTTTCAATAATGCTTCATCCTGCACTCTCTTCTGCATTCAAATATGAACTTTCTTAATTTTCTTTAGAAATTTGGGCGATATGTTACAATATGTGGTAATTTTCAGTGTAGTGCATGTATTAAGTTAGAGAACTATAATGCATAATATAGTCATTTTATTTTCAATCAATTATACTACTACTAAGATAGTTTTTATAAATACATTACTCTGCCGGATGAAATGCTATTCAAAAATTTAAAATTTACACTTCTTTTGCCAAAAAACTTGGCTTTTGAAACAAATTATAAACAATGTGCGAAGTATAACAAAAAGCGATCCAGCTATTCAAATTGAACCTACCACCTATTCTAATATATCACCGAAATTTGAACTAGAAATTTCAAGTAAATCAATTGGCACTCTAATACAGATTTTATTAATTTGAGAAACTACGGATTCGTTCTCGCATTTCTTAGGCGGAGCCAATCTAAAATCATTGCTTTTTTCTAGCAGAAAAATAGTACTCCTCATTGCAGATAGAATAATAGTACTTACCAGCGCTTCACTGTCCATTCCGAATTCCTTCTGAGTGTCAATCAATCCCAGTTGACTGGATAGAGTTCCTCTTCCGGCGACTCCGTCTGAGACTCTGGGTGCCATACGGCTCGCTTTTTTGACTTGAGTCGGCTCGTTCAATCTCCCTGCGAATTAAAATAGAAACATGAAGTAATTGAACGTTTTTCAAGACCCAAGAGACATTCCAGTAGAGAATACATCTTTAAACACAGCCTACTTCTTCTATAACTCAAATTAGAATTTTTTTTAAACTTAGAAATGTTGTGTCTGAATAATTGTGTTAATTGATTATAATTTATAAAAAGACTATTTCGACTTTTCAAGTAAAGTTTTTTACACATTAGAGAAACTTAGATTAAAAAAGCTTTCACCAAACGCATTTTCATTTGGCTCGCTTGATTACGAAACATCGCGAAGCAAGAATTTTCTCCATTTAAATTTGAGCAGGGTGATGATCCAAACGGTAGATATTTCTAACCGGTTTGTCGAGAGTGGCTCTTGGGATTCCCTCTGGCTTGAGACTGCGACACGTGATCATCTTTGTCCAGGGTTCTCTGGGTCAGTCTGGACAGCTCTGATCTCCAACCAGTGACATCTAAACAGCGCAACGTTGGCTACCAAAATCTAGCGGACTTTGAATTTTTTAAACACAATTCTGAAGCTAACTAACCTTGATGATATTCTACCCAGTTTTTTTTTCGATTTTTGCAACATTATTACACCGAGGCGAAGCTGTGCTTCGCAAACACTTGCTTGCGAAAACGCGACAAAAGGCAGCTTTACAAAGTGAAAAAGAAAAATTGAAATAAGCCTCGGACCAGTAAAACTTTGCTACGTATCGGATTCGAACCTGCGACTTTGAGAATTGGTTTCTCACGCCCTGCACGCTCGGCCACGAACTCTTAACAATCCACAAACACTAGTCACGAAGAAAGCAGCTACATATGTACATATGCCAAAGCAGCTACAACTGCCAATGCTATGCAGCAAAATTGGCAACAAACACAAATAGACAATCTGGTTGTAATAATTTGGAATATAACAAACTAAGGGCATCCACGCTAACTTAGCATGCTACAAATTAAAAGCCAAATTATACATAAATTAAACTTTTCGAAAGTATTGACAAAATCGAGTTTTTTGTTTTGATATTTGAAGCAAAAAGCTTTTTTCGGTTCATTTGAACTATGAGAACTGCATCAACAGTTTTAACTTATAATTAATTAAATGCATAATTAATCAAATGTCAAAGCACATGCTATCAAAAAGATGTAAAGGTGCCCCAAAAGTGGCACCAATATTTGCGACTAAGAGAAAAAAATCGTACTTTACACTACCTCGCTAAAGTTCGCACGTGTAAAAAACAAAGAAGGATAGCCGGTTACTGTGCAAGCAGCACAAAATGCTCCGACCATAGTCTTAAAATGTTCATAATTTTTTTTCTTCAATTTAGTGTCTTTTCTTTTCAGCGTGGTTTAATAACAGGAGGTGAATGAAAAACTAGATAATAGGCATAATCGACTGTCATAGTAAAATATGCAAATTAAAAACAAATTTTGCAGAAAAATGACTAGAAAAAGAACACAAAAAATGTTAAAAAATAAAAAAAAAAATCCAATTTTTTTTCTAGTTTTTTGACCTTCTGGAGTTTCTGATTCCAAAGAGGCGCCTAAAATACTCAAAACTAACGCTATTCGAGTAAAACTGGGTATTCATGTTTTAAATTAAGCTATTGTAAGCTTTTTAGCCATTAAAACAAGCTATTATATGCCTGCTCCCTCGCTTTATTCGCTCGAATTAAGAAAAACGGAAAAATTCAAACCATTTTTTCTCGACACTGGGGAAATTTGTTTGAATTTTTTTGAGTCGTTCGAATCACGGCTGTAAAGGCTTCAAAATTACAGACCACTCAACTCTCTCTCTCTCTCTCTCTCTCTCTGATGATTGTGGTAGCTGATTTTGCGTGGAAGACAAAAAAGAAAAAACTAAAACACATCTGAATTTAAATCATCTCCCAACTTTTCAAATAGTCGGAACAAAAATTTGGGTTAAACTGGTACCAACCGGTAAATGAACATACCTTTAGAAGTCTATAATGCAAAACCGGCAGTGTTTTTATTTGTTTTTAAATCAAAGTTTGACACTCAACAACAAACTGAGAAAATTTTCACATTAGATTTTAGATTATTTACATCTCGCCAAACAGTGACTGAAAACTTTGAAACAACTTTTTTTCAATTTCGAATTCAGCTAAAATTTATGCAGTTCAATTCCAGATGTTCTAAAAATCACAAAACTTCTGAACTTTTGGCTATTCTAATACTTATTATTCTATTCCCGAAGAACTAAGTATTTTATTTTTCACTGTGTCTTGCTTTGCTTCAATGCAACCAAGAAAACATAGGAATATTCTCTAATTTTAAGAAAAAATACAACACAAATTAACAAAAAAAACATGTGCAAAAATATATGTTCTACTTTTGATTATATTGCCAAGGTAACTGTGGTCGGTAAATTTTTGCAAGATTTACTGTTGTTTTTTAGCAAAAAAAAAACTGTTTTTGCGAATGTTATGAGCTGCTTGCAATGGAACCGGCTGTTTTCATTTCTTGTGAATATATTGTACATTCCTAATGATCGCTGTCTACCTTGCGTGTTGAACTTCATCTGATCTCTTTGTGTTGATGGTAGGATGATTTCCTGGATCAATCAAACTTTCAACTCCTGGATCAATTAAACCATAGATACGCTCTTCAATGGCACACGCAAGGAAAAATTTTAAATGTTTTTTCTAATGAGTTGGTGATTTTTTTCTCCGTCAAACAGCAGCTCTCCAAAGAATTCGTTAAGATCAAAATGACAAAAAGTATTTGCGTATATCTATGATATCTTTGTTCAAAAATCCAAAGCCCCCTAAATTGAAGATGCGGAGCCCGAGGTTTGATTGATCTTATAAGGATTCCTTAGGGTTCTTGAGTCTGAGTGCGATGTCCATGTGGTTGATGCTGCTCCTCCCGTTGAAGTACTCTTTGGCCCTCTCAGGGGTAGAGATGCTCCTGTTGTACAGACTGTTCTGCTGGGGAAGAGGGATGTCGTCGATCACGTGGCAGATTGGGTTGTCCAGCAAACCTAAATTTGAAAAAATTGAGACGAAATTGCGAAACAATCTGTTCAACAAAGAAATGGGATGTAAGTTGAAGTTCTACACAGAGGCGAAGCTGATCTTCGCACCACTTTCGACACAAAGGAAAAAAGTTTAAAAAAAAAAAAAAAAAACTAGATCTATTAAATGAATAAAGCTAGTTTTGAAACAAACACATGCCAAGACAATAGAATGTGTAATAGGCATCATAAGATAATGTACCCAGCGTTAACAAAGCCAAAAATTCCTCGTCAGAAACCTTTTCAGAAGTCGAAAAAAAAAACAACAAGACTTCAAACTTCATAAAAGTTAATAAGTCTACCTCACCCTCAAAACACTTTATTTGCTCGTCAAATGAAAAATTATGAGCCAACTAAACCGATATAATATAGGCCGAAAGCTATTAAGCCCAAAAAAATGAAAATAAAAAACAGCCGAAAAAAAATTTAAGACTAATAAAAAGTTGTAAAAACCGACACGCACACAAAACATTTTTGGCTCGTCGATAGATGCAATCAGTAATTACCACCAGAGTTGCAAAAACCATACCTACGCCTCGCCCATTTCCTTCTGAATTTATGAATCTTTTACCCTTTCACCACTTGCACAGATTTTCAATTTAGTGCAGTTTTTTTGTGCGTGGTGTGACAAAACGATCAAAGGAAAGCATACAGCTTGGGTATATTCGACAAAATAGGCAAAAAGGGCTGCATTTAAATTTTTTCCCTTGTCAGCTCTACAAAAACATCGAATTATAATAGTAACAGTAAAAGATAAAAATACTTATAATAAAAGCTATAATGGTAAATAATAGTAAAAGTAATAATAAGTAATAGTAAAATTTGGCATTTTTTAATAGTAATATTATAAAAGTAGTAGTAACAATATTTATAAAATTAATAATTATAGTAATAATAATAACTAGCACAGTAAATTTTTGAAGACTCTTTCTGCAACAAACTTCGAACCATCATTAAAATAGTCATAGTAAAAATAATTATACTAGAGTAAATCTTAAGTTTTACGGCTTATCTTTTTGTAATATACCTGTTCGCTCGCCTTACTTGCTCGAAATTGTAGTGAAACTCCGAAGTTTTTTATTGTCGTTCGGAATCAAGGCTACAAGGGCTTTGATATGATATATCATTCCAACCATCCCCATGATTTTATGTGGTGACTGCTTTTGGTTGAAATTCTATATTGAGGTAACTGCTTTCTGGCTGTGGTAACTGCTTTCACTTTATTCGCTCGAAATTAGACCAAAAATCAAAAATTCAAGAGGTTTTCTCCCAAAAGTGAAAACAAAATTTGGCATTTTTTTAATGTAGTTTAATGTAATTCCAAAAATTATTTGTGGCACCTAATTTTGCGAGAAAAACAAAAAAAACTAAAACACAACCAAATACAAAGTTGCTCTCCATTTTCAATGGTCGGCGTAAAAAATATATCTACAAAACCAATTTTTGTAAAGGATGTTCAATTTGAGAACAAAAACATTCCAAGAAACACAATCGATAAATCGTTAAATTAGAATTCGTAAGAGAATTTTCTCGAATCTAGTTCTATTTGAAAAAATCATTTTAAGAAACAATCGACAGCGTTATGAAAGCATTCAGAAAATTTCATCGGCCGCCACTTGAGCCGACAAAACGTGGGTAGAAAATAATTCGACCGAAAACAAAATTACAGCAAAATATTTTGAGCTACAAAGTTGTGCAACTCTAAGATACTCCCCGCCCTGAAACACACAAAAGGTTGAAAAACTATTTTAGCCCTTATAACGACAAACTTACGCTCTGAGTTAGTACCGTGTTGGTTAACTCATAGAGTAATTTCGGATAGGGTACACCGTCTGCTCGTCACGCTATCTTATTTTCGGCCGGATAGATTCGTGCAACTTCTTAGTCTAATACCGATCCTAATCTTACTCTTATACTATCTAGTCTCAGGTTGTTTAACTAGTCTCTGCTAGGCTCAATAGATCTAGGGTATACTGGTTTATTGCGGCTGCTGAAGTGCTCGGGAGAGTCCAACTAATTTCTAAGTTAAATTCAAATCTCTCTGGTGCTGAAATTACAAGTAACTTCAGCACTTACAAATAAGTGGGTTGTTAGTTAGATGGATCATGATTGGTTAATATTAAATACTTTACATTGGTAAAATATCTAAATTATCCAATCATAAAATGTAGTTTAGATCAGGTTCCACCCATCCGGGTTTTACAGAGTTTTTTAGAATAGTTCTTCTGCAATTCGAAGGATGGATGATGGAAGTTGGTGTTTGGCGAACATCTTATTTCTTCTGTTTCCTTTTTGTTAAAGAAGTTCCAGGAAGCTGGAGTTAGAGACATAAGACGTTGTGTCTTCTAGTGACAACGACTAAGTCTTCGCAACAAACTCAAATCTGATTTCAGAATGGTTGGCTATGTCAGGTTTTTCTGTTCTGCGTGGAGAACTTCTTTTGTGTCTGGTCTAGTTTGGGAATGGCGTGGAGATTGTGCGTGGAGGGGATGCCTGGTTACTCGGATCTGTACGTATACTTGAACATCGAGGTGGTCATTGGTCTAGTTCAATGAAGTCCTTTTCTGCGAAGTCAAGTCGTACTCTAAATCCTTTGAGTTGTGATTGTGAGTGGCATATCGATTGTGGTTGGTCATTCTCTCTCGAGTGTAGTGGGGTCGTTTTGTCTTTAGATGTTCGTCCTTGGTGTTGTATTCTGATCTATGTATTGCATAATGTAATTTACATTTTATAAAACATTTATTAGTTTAATATTTTTTAATTATGATTTTAGTTAGTTGTTTTCACAAAAGCTTTTTGTTTTAGTTCGGTTATTTTGAAGAGTTACTCACACTTGAGTAGCTCTTATTAAAAATAGAGGTGTGGTCACAAAGCGTGGATGTAGCGCGGTGGGTTAGGCCGGCTATAGAGCATGCTCAGGACGTCCTTCCTGGTGGGTTAGGCCAGGAGTGGGAGTATGATTTCATGCGATTTTTGTGAGGGGTCCTGTTATGTGACAACGTTTTATGTTGGGTTTGTTGTGGTTTTTCTTATGTTTTGTTGGTTGTGTCCTTTTTTCAAATATCAAATTGTTTGTGGTATGGGTTTGTCTTTCGACTTTTTTGTGTTTTATTATTTCTTTCTTAGACTTTATAATAGTCTTCAAAAGAATAAATTATCCAGTTTTAAACTGGGTTAATCCGGTTTGGGTACCGTTGGTTTCCTTTTCTTAGTCATGCTGTTATTCTATGATTTGTGGTATTTAGTAAGCTGCGTTGGTTAGTTTTGTTTAGTATATGATTCCTTTCCAACCGGGTTAAAGGAAAGTTTGAAACATGTTATTATATGTTAGAGTTGTTGAGTGTGAAAACTTGAAACTGAAATTCATTATTTTAAACAATTCTTCGTGGGCGAGCTGTGCGAGTGTGGATAGAATTTCTGTGCGAATGAATGAAAATATCAAAAGGTTAGTACTGCAATTGCATTTTATTAATTTACTGCATAGTATTTGGAAATTTACTGCTAGTTATGGGGGAATTTTAAGTTACAAATTTTCATCATAATTAAATTTACTGCTTGTGGGGAAAATTTTAGAAATGAATTTACTGCATTGGTATTAAATTTATAAATTTATAAGTGTAAGAGATTAATAGAATTGTTGAAGTCTGTTTGATGAAATTTGCGATCTTTATTTGTTTTTTGTGGTTTTTGTAGGTGATCGTCGGATGAAGGCTAAAAATCTAAGGAAAACATGGATAAAGTATGGTGAGTTTTTTAATATTTCAATTAGTTAGTTATATTCATTTAATTCATACTTACCTGTTAGTCGTCGGGGAAAAAACCGTGGGGGAAGATGTCGTGAATTAGTTCTGAAGTTGTTAGTAGTTTAGCTAAGATGCGGATGATATTTTTAGTCTGAAGCAGTGGCCAAAGCAATTGAAGTGCCTTAATAGTGGTTAGTTCTTCAGTGCCAACTGCAAACTCATAAGGTGTGTTTTGGATTAGATTATATAATTTGTGATTGAATTTAGTGTTGTGGATGAATTCTAAAATTGGGATTTCTATGGGTTGTACAAACTCGTGCGGGAGAAGGAAGGGTCGGGATTCTTCGGCGTTGAAGGTCTTGGTGATGGGACAGAAGATGTACATTTGGGTTATGGGGTCATAATTACGAAGAATACCATGAAGGTTAGTATCTTTAATACAGTATGTGAAATTTAGGAAAAATGGTGAAGTGTATTTGGAATTAATGAATTGAAAACGATGGTGTGGTTGTCTAGAGGGTGTGTGTAGGTCAAAGTGATTTTGGATGAAGCGATAATAACTATATGTGTGGGTTTGTTTAGTGCGCAACATAATATCGTGTGAGCAGTGTAAATCTCTTTCGTGTGGTGCAAGGAAATGAAAGGTTAGTGAAAATATTTGGAAGCGTTCTTTAAAACTTTCGTATGCTTGTGTGTCTGTTAGTGCTTCTGAAATAATGTGATCAAACTTTCGGTCGAAGATGTTTAGTGTAAATATATATGGTGTCTTGATGAAAAATTTCTCAGTAATTTGTGGATTAGCGAAGCGATCGTCGTCTAAGAATTGATCTTGGTTAGCTCTGATGATGTTGTGATCATAGTATTCGAGTGTATATTCGTTAGCTCTAGGTGCAGTGTGTGTTTTTAGTGATTTTTTATATCCAACGTAAGTAAATTGTCTAGCGGTTAGTGGTGTAGTGAGTCGATATAGCATGTCCGTATTTCGCTCTATATCGATGTGAGTGTTAGATAAAGGTAAGCAAAGAGGGTTAGTAAAATGATAATATGAGGTCCAAGAGAGAGTGGGCATTAAAACGTATTCATCTACAAAGTTGCGTGTTTCGTTAGTGTCGTGGGGGGTGTTTAAGGTGTATTGTGGGAATGAGGGTAAGGTGATGGCTAAAAATTCTTTTGTGTTAGTATGCTTGGGATGGTTGATGTATTCACGGGCTGTTCCTGGTTTTG